CTTTCTCGATGTTTCATCCATGGGCAGAACCAGTCTTTCTCTCCATTTCCCAGGTGCTGTCACACCAACTTGTACGAGCTGCCATTGCCATTGGCACTGATCCCGTGTGTTCAGCTTGCTCCTGCCAGAGAGGGGCAGGTACCATAATACAGGCTATTTTTTACCCCTAAGGAGCCCATCAATACACTGATTCCTTATCTAAGTGTTACACTGTGCCACTGATAATGTTTGTGACCTTCTGCAGACAGAGTTGTTAATAGCTGTGTCTAGGCAGAGAGCAATTTTTTCCTCTTGATACTGGTGTTTAACCTTTTCAGTTTCCTGAAAACTATGAACACTATCTCAGCAACTTCCCAGAAGATTTCACCACCAGAGGCTCTTCAGAATGGTAATTAGTCATCTGGAAAAGAAATAACGCCATCGACTTTTTTTGTGAAACCAGATCAACGGTCTTTTACTTATTTTCTTCTGTTGTGTTTTGAATAAAGGAATGAACCAGCAAGTTTTTTCAACCCTATGAGCCGTGGAGCAGAGAAATATATTATCAAATCACAGCCATGCCCAAGGCTGGCACGCCGATGCTGCACCCTCCTGCAAGAACCTCTGGGAGTCTGGGTGAGGGGCAATACAAGGTGTCTCCCACTTTCTCCACTTCTAGCCTGTCTGAGGAGATGAAGGGCATGGATTTAAAAAGAAGGTAGATAAAACAACTCTTACAATCCAGCAGCAGTCACCCGGGGAAGCAGCGTAATTGCAGGCTGGGCCAGACGCAGTCACCAGTGTCACCTTGGAGACCAGCTGGTAAACTCCAGGCCTCTCAAAAAAGCGGGGGAGGCAAGGCAGGCAGGTGAGTAAACAAGAAAAACGAGATGGACGAGGAAGTTCTGCAGTGAGCCTGTGGCCCTGCTTCCCCTCCACTTGCCGCCTGAGCCCTGCGACAGCCCCGGAGTGGGGAGGCAGGTGGGGGACGACACTGTCCCAGCCCCCCGACACCTCCCAAGTCCTGGGTGGAAACCACGGGTGCAGGATAGCAGTGCAGGTAAAAGATTTTCTCTTGCTTGCTAGCTCTCAGTGAACTTCTCCAATTGCTTGCAGTTCAGCCAAGAGTAGGGGCTTTTTATATGCATATATCAATATATATACATTACAAAACAGGCATATCTGCAAAATAGAGGAGCAGCAATGCCCCACCTGCCAGAATATGGGGGCTGGATGATGCTGAGGATGATGTAGATACAGCAGAGGGGTCAGTGGGGATGAAGAGCCAGATTTTTAAGGAGGTGTTTAGATGATTGCCAAATACACAGTTTTAATGCTTTTAAGAATTCAATGAAATTGTCAGGAATAATCCAAATCTGTGCAATTTGTGTAGGTCACCTAATCTATTCCCAGGCTCAGAGATCTTTTGCTCTGGGGTGATGTGTGACTTAAGCTTTTGGCCAGGATAGAGGCTTTCTATGACAAAATGATAAAAAAACCACCCCTATGATAATCCAGGGGTGTTTTTCAAGATTTTCACAGGAGGCTCATGGGCTCAGCTGAGAGGTAACTTCTAAATGAATGGTACTGAGCTGAGGTTAAATCTGTGTGTGATGTAAGGGGATCTGGTTGCTGAACAGCCTAAGGTTCCTCTGGAAAACCCCAACCCAATATTTCAGGTTTTGTATTGGTTAAGAAGAAGTGCAATCACTTCTGTTCAGCCTGCACAACATAACATTGCCCGTAGAAACAAACAATGATGAGAAGGTGAGGTATTGTAATTGCTCGTAGCCCAGGCTATTATGCAAAACAAAACTCTCTAGCTTTCAGAATTAAATTAACCAGCCCTTTTTTCATTTCACCATGAGACACACATAACAAACTTGACAGAGATATACAAACTAAAAACATGCAAAATTATGGTTATGACCATTTCTTGTTTTATTAGGATTTATTAATACTTACACATAATACAGGGAACTGTTAAACAAATCCTGACAGTGTCTTCAATTAATTCACATTATCGAAGAAGAGACAAAAGCAAAATCAGAGGAGAGAACATGTAAATTTCTGTGATTCTTCCATCCTTGTTCTGGTTCAGAATCTATTTTCTTACAATACAGTATAGTCTTTTAGCAGCCTAGGAACTTATGTCTAGCTTAAACAAGCAGCCAACAGAAATAGGGGGGTAGATATGTTACTATGGACCAGGCTTTCATGTAATAGGTTTTATATTTATCTGGTTTTCTGTATTTACTGAATATATAGAAAAGATTCTCAGATACATACTGCTGTGTGACAAAGGAAGCCAAGTCATATTTAAGAAGCTTTAGTATAACGCGTAAGTGCAATCACTTTAGAAACAGTTGAAATGCTGAGCTTCATGTAACAACACAGTCAGCGATTTTGCTATTGAACATTCCAGAGAATAGAGTTTCTCAAAGAGCAGCACGAAAATTTACCATTACCGTTTTAACCATGATACATGGGAAAAAAATGGGAATATCTCTGCCTGAGGCACTAAAGACATTATTAGAATGCTCTGTTCAACTTCAGAAGGAGCTCTGGAAAAAAAATGGAAATGTTCAGGAACAACAGCAGAATTATCTAACATTTGGAAACTCATTTTGTAGGGAGAGTCCTGGGTTCTGTCTAATTATCTAGGTTCTGTCTAATTAACCAAAGAGGGTTTAAAAAGGACCGTCAACTGTTTGCATCTGGGCAGATTTTTAATAGGTAGCTCTTTGATCTAGTAAAAGAAAGTAAACCAGGATGTAATGATAGGGGAAAATCAGACTAGAAGCAAAGCCCATATTTTTAAAAGAAAATTATTTTACACTGGAACAACTTAGTCTAGAGGTGGTAAGTTCTCAGCTAGAAATGCTTGTAGATGTAGAATCAAACTTTGTACTTACTGCAGAGACAACTGAGGGTTGGCCAGTTTCACTGGCTTTTACTGAGGGACAGGAGATTGTAACAGATACCGTATCAGATGATCCCTCCTTGGCCTCATTCACGAGTCTCACTGCAAGGATTATTTGACAGGCACTGTAGTATCTGCAAGTGCCTTCAGTGAACCTGAGGCAAAGAGCTACTACACTCTGTAAGGTGTGTATTTAGATTTTTGCAGCGTGCAGTGAGCATGAGTTATGTCATCATCAGTATCACTATTTATAATTTGAATAAGTAAATAATAGAGTAAAGACACTTACTGCCCAGGTGTTATGCAGTCTTTGTATAGATGTGTAGACATTATACATGTATATAAGCTATTATACATGATCATATAAATATAGTTTGCACTGTGTTTATGTAACTTGATTGTATTTTATATTCTTGCCAGCTAAACATCTCCCCTTAAGGACAGGTCACTGTTTGCAGAAAACATTTTTGACTGCTGAACTCACATAGCTGTAAGGTCTTTCTGGTCACTTGTTAATGACTTCCCAGAAGACCTTTAGTCATTCTGGCTGAAGCAAAATTTAATATGATCTTTTTGTACCATGCTGGACTTCTAAAACAAGCTAGTACTAAAATGAATTGAGGGGGAACAAAACCATTTTATTTTTCTGTTTTTCCAAGCTCAGCTGGTGTTCTTTGAAGGGGTTGTGAAAGTCAGCTGCCGTAGCCAATGCTGTGTCGCTGGGAGTGGAGTACTTAAGATGAAACAGTTTAATTCTGTTTCTTAGAATTTTCTCTGACTTCTGTTCACACTTCTACAGTGTCAATGTCTTGTGCAGTGGCAATGAGATTGGAAGTGCAACATGCACTGACAATACCTCACAGGGCTGCCCATCTTCATCTCCTCATCACAGAGCACCCTCAGCAGAGCATCAGATGCCTTCTGAGAAAACATCTCTGCTGTAACTCAGCCCGGCCCTTCTGTGACTCTTTTGTGCCCCAGTCCTGTGATGCCTGAAAGGCTGGAAAACATTTTGGGAGCCTTTGTGATCTGCAGACACACCAGCCAGCCTAGGGGGTGGCAGTCCTGGTACAGAGCATGTGGCCAAGTGCCAAAACACAACACACCCTCAAAATGTCACTATGGTCATGGGCAACCTCGGTGCTCCTAGCACTAGGCAGAAATACTTACTGTGGGAGAGGCAGTGACCCTTTGTTAGCCTGGGCATGCTGCTTTTGGTGGTTCCGTTGCAGCGTTGTAAGTCCACGAGCTGGTTTTCCCACTTTTTATTCTGCTGTCTTCCTCCGAAGAAAGCTGTAAGGCTTATGTTACTGTTGAAGTACTGGAGTGCTAAATGCTGTTCAAGTTTAAGGTATTAATTTGTTCTGCATTTGTGTTAAAATAGTATATGGTGTTGTCTGTAGATGAGGTCAGATCTTGGGGTGATCGCTGTTGCTCTCATGGGCAATGGGAGAAAGCCCTGCTCTGGAGAATTAGGACTACAGCGATAGTCTCTCCTCTTTTTTCTGTGGCCCCTTTCAAATACTGGAAGGCTGCTATAAGGTCCTTCCAGAGCCTTCTCTTCTCCAGGCTGAGCAATCCCAACTCTCTCAGCCTGTCCCCACAGGGAAGGTGCTCCAGCCCCTGATGATCTTAATGGCCTGAAGCTGAGCCAATAGGTCCATGTCTTTTTTGTGCTGGGGACTCCAGAGCTGAACACAGCGCTGCAGGTGGTCTTGTGAGACCCTCACAAGAGCAGAGTAGAATGGGAGAATCAGCTCCCTTGAGCTGATGGCCACACTTCTTTTAATGCAGCCTAGGATGCCAATAGCTTCTCACTGTGTTTGTACATTGTACCCAGCAAACTCTTACCCACATTTTCATATTTGCATCTGCACATGGTGGTTGCCTAATATCTCATTTCAGGGTTGGTGGCCCATATTGGCAATTTCCCCTTCAATTAGAAGGATATAAGGAAAAGGAAATAGAGGATCAAAATGAGACCTCATGGGAGCTGCCAGCACCTTGCAAGTGAGGGATGCCGCATATACTGAGGCAAGTTTCATCACTCTGCCGTGTGTATGTGAATCCACACTGTGTGAATGCTTTGGTCTTGCAGATGCCGGGCACAGCAAGGCATGACCGAGAGATGGCAATCCAGGCCAAAAGAAACCTGTCCAAAACCACCGACCCTGTAGAAAGACTTCGCCTGCGGTGTTTAGCAAGGGGATCTGCAGGCATCAAAGGACTTGGCAGGTGAGCCTCAGAAATCAAATTCAGACTAGTAGTTCTAACTGCAAGAGGCTCATGCGCTAAGCAGGGATGAAAACTTGAGTTTTCTGGTTCCAATGCAAATGCCACAAGCTACAGAGCCTGAGCCTGGGAGTCCTGTGTTTTGGGAGACAGGACTGAACTGTTCCCCTGTTGAAGGATGGAGGACTCTGAATCCCTCATAGGAAGGTACTTCCTTGAGTCACAGAACAACTCTTGTCAGGCAGAGAGAGGGAATATAAAAAGTCTCGTCTCTTTGTTATTAAGTGTCTCAATACTGGGTATTTTGTGTTTCCTTTCATTTGGGGTGTGATTCCCTTGTGTGTAGTGATCTATTATCTGTCTAGTTTTTGAGTCATATAGACTCCTTCTGCAGCCACCCTGGGTAACCCCACCCCATGGAATAGGGAGATGCATTACACACTGAAACCTCTCCTGGACCCCATATATCACAGAGGGAGCCCGGGTGTGACCAGCTGGAACTTCATCTACATGCCTAACTTTTAGGTAGCTCGGTGTATAATGAATAGGATGACTCCAGCAGTTAAAGCAGCCTTCACCTCACCTAACTTCAGCTGCATAATATTTTGAAGCTCAGTCTAAACTTATCATTAAGTGTGTGAGGGGAGTTATGGGTTTTTTTCACTCCCTCTTTTGTTTTCTGTTTGTTTTTGCTTTTCTTCTCAGAAGACTTTACAAAGGGAAAATGTTATCTTACTAAAGTGTCCCTATGCTCTGGCACTGTAGAATTCTTCTGGTTTTCCCATGCATTCTCCTGAAATCTCACATTCTCCATAGAATATTTCAAATTATGGATGACGACAACAGCAGGACCCTTGATTTCAAAGAGTTTGTGAAAGGACTAAACGATTACGCTTTGATGATAGACAAGGAAGAAGCACAAGAGATTTTCCAGTTATTTGATAAAGATGGCAATGGAACAATTGATTTTGATGAATTTCTTGTTACACTGAGAGTAAGTCTGGGAATTTATGCTATTACTGCATTAAATGTAGAAGAAGACCTGATCATTGGCTAAACATGAAACACAGCACTTCTGTTGACCTTAGTAATTAGCAAAATCTACAGCTTTATTTTAAAAGTCAGTAGCTCTTGAAAAGTTAAAATATTCTGGTTTTGTCTGAATATACTGAAAAAAACCCCCACTCTAAGCAACACCTCTGCGGATGAGAGAGCTCAGAAGGCAATAAATGTCTGCAATTTTTTGGCAAGGTGTAAGGCTCCTTGCAAATAGAACAGAGTAGCTACAAATAAATGGTTGTGATTTTTTTTTAAATGAATTGCTGACTAGACTTAGGTGCCTAAATTCCTCTGCTGCAGTCCGAGTAGCTGTGTGGTTCAGCCCATTCATCAAAATCATTGAATGGTTTGGGTCGGAAGATCGTCTTGTTCCATAATCTGAATTCTTTGTCCATAATTTTATGACGCATCACCTTGTAACACAAACTATTCCAGTGTTGGCTTTTTCTGACTGACCACAGTGTGACTGGTTTTAGTTCTAGCCTATTTGCTTTGCTAAAGTCTGCACTTTTTTGTGGTATGATGCCGTTCCTGGCTCATGGACAGTATAGATTGTCAGCAGTTGTTGTCCCAAGTGCCTTGAAATATGTTTAACAACAGCAGTTACTTGAATTTGGAACTGAGAAAGTAGTTGGCAGAGATAAAATAATTCTGTTAATATTTCTTTACAGCCTCCCATGTCAAATGCAAGAAAAGAGATCATCATGCAGGCATTTAGGAAGTTAGATAAGACTGGAGATGGTGTTATAACAATTGAAGACTTACGTGGGGTATATAATGCAAAACATCATCCTAAATACCAAAACGGAGACTGGACAGAAGATCAAGTTTTTAGGGCCTTTTTGGATAATTTCGATTCACCTTATGACAAGGATGGGAAGGTAGGTTCAACACCCAGTGTCAAGCCATGAAATCACCATCTGACTCAGCGTTTGACGTAAATGATTAAATGTGAGAATGATCGCAGTATCAAACATGCATTTACAGCACGTTTATGGGGAACAGTAAACTGGATACATAACCTCTGTGTAGGACTGTTGGTGCAGCTCACTTACACAGAGGGGCTCTGCAGGAGGTGTAAGAGTAGGCTAGAAATTACATTTGCTGGCTTGTAGCATTAGTGCTCTGCTTCCATAGGTTGCTTTGTATCTTCAGCCTGATTCACACAATTGCTGATTTTCAAATTCCTTATAAGTTGGAGGATTTTTCAATTCTTAGGCAAAAAAATACCAGAATACAGTCCAAAAGCAGGTTCCCTAGTGCTTTACTGTTAGCACTTCTCCAGTGTGTGCAATTACTGAGGCATCTGACTTGGAAATCAGTCTTTAATGGAGATATATTTATTGCCAGATAGTTCGAGGGCTGGGGGGCTGCCGCCAGCTGTGTGCCCTGAGGACCCACTAGCTGGGTAAGAGCTGGGAGCTATTGCTGCCCCCTCCTCAGCTCCCTGGTGCAGGTGCAAAGCCTGGGCACTTTCTGTGATGAACTCGCTACGCATCAACTTTGTAACCATCCCAGAGCCAAGCATGCTTTTTTTACCCTTGTTGTATATCTGCAGACTTCTTTAGTCTGAATTCACGCGACTGACCAACTCAGAGCAAGCAATCATGGATCTCCTCTGTTCACATAAGGATATTTTCAGTCTAAGCTGTTCGTTAATAACAAACTAGATAAGGTTTCATCAGCTCTTTGTGGAATGTCTTTAATACTGCGGTTCTGAGGTTACACCACTGTTTTCAAGGCTGCCCTACACTGCTGACTCCAGCCTGTCTAATGGTTGGCTATTACATCCAAATCCTCCACTTGCTTTGTTTCCAACAGGCAGGGTCTCAGTTTGCAGGGGGGTGATGTTTTTCATTTCCCTTGGGCATGGAACTATTTACAGTTGATAGAGCTGAATTTCATCCCTTTTTCTGTTGTGTCTTCCTCAGATGCACCAGTTGCATGAGTTGTCCCCTTCCTTCCCTGTAGCAGTGGTGATGTCTATCAAACCTCGAGAAAAATATTCCTGCTTTTTGTGCTGAATGAACACATTAAATGAGTCCCCAAAACAATCCTTGACAAGTTTAGTGCCTTGTACCTCATAAATGCTGCAGTGCTTGAGGTTAGAGAAAAGTTACTCTGAGCACTTGCCTCTTGCTCAGCATCCTGACTTTAAGTCACCTCATTGCAGTTTCTTCTGAGAACTGACTGTGACTTTCCTGTGCCTGAATCCGAGGTCAGTAATGAAACTGGTATAAGCTGAACACCTAAAATATTTTCAGCAGAATTGCCTCAAGGCTAAACATCTGCTAGAAAGATCTTCTTCGTCGTGATCTCTGCGGGTGCCTCTGAAATAGACAGGGTCAGCAAAAGGTGTAATCAGTTCCTGATGGTAGGACAGTCTCGAGTGTTCACTTTTCCCCATTGTCATGTTTTACTGGGCTCTCAAATGCACAATGCAGTAGGAGAAAACATTTTTCTCTGTGTTATTAATTCACAGAATAAAGTTCAAGATATACAGTTCAGGAGTTAAAGCATCGCAAGAGACATGCACTGTTTGTATCTGCTAATCGGATTTTTTTCAAATGGTCATTTTAAAACAGATTCAACCTCAAAATACCTTTGAAAGATTTTCAAAATTCTTAGGTATTTGAAAGAATACTTCTTTGTTTTAGTGAGATCTGTTAAAAGAAATGATACTTTCTCTATAGTGAATGGATATACAGCTCTTGGCTGTCTCTGCATTTCACCAGAAACCCCATCCACTTTCAGATAATAGCATACTTGGAAAAAGATGCATTAAAACGTTTGTCTTCTTGGGCAGCATGGATTTTAACTTCAGTTGCTGGTAAGGTTAGTTTAACTCTGCAAGTTTCATTTCCGTCCAGGTGTTTCTGGAGAACAAGAGCTCTTATTTCTAGCAAAGAATTGAACTTGGGCAAGTTTTCAGTATCTTCATTCTTCTTATTGGATTCCTTTTCAATAGTAATAATATGAAATAGCAGGTGTTGAGTTTTACTTAGAAAACTGCATGGTTTTGATGTATAGCATAATCCCCCCAAAGGTTCATTTTCCTGTTTTAAATGTTTCTGTCTTAGGTCACAACAGAAGAATTCATGAACTACTATGCAGGAGTCAGCGCTTCAATAGACACAGATGTCTATTTTATCGTCATGATGAAGAACGCTTGGAAACTCTGATAATCTGATTAAAGGAACAAGACTTTACTTCCACCTTTTGTAGGTTCCTGTGATTAACTGTGTGCACAACAACACACTGATTTTCTATAATAACAGCTTCCAGTAACTGTGCCGGTTACGGTCAATCTGCAAAAATAATTTCCAGATGCTTCGGTAGGCTCAGCCTCAGGGTATCAGAGCATAATCAGAGCACAGATCTGGCGCGCAGCCACTCTGCAGGTCTATCCTTTTTCTCCCTGCATCCCTAACACGTCTTCTCTTTTCTGAGACAAGCTGCTCCTTTCTTCTCAGACATCCTCAGTTGATCTATGTGGCTTCTGAACATACTCCCTCCTCCAGTGGTAGATGCAGCTCTCTTTGACAGAGGATGCAAGAGGAGAAGACTAAAATATTCTGGAAAGGTGATGGTCTAGGGTAGACTATTACAAACATGAGGAAGCCTGTCCCAGGAGGGTTACATAGTCCTCTTGCCTGTAGCACTGCAGCATCTCTTGGCTTCTTGGGTCTTACATGTGGGATGAAGCAACTGCTCAGATCACTGCTGGACACATGTGAGTTCCCAGTGCCAGGAGGCTGGGGGAGAAACAAATCAGGAAAGGGAGACAGGTACCAGCATGAATGGAAAATGCTCTTTAAAGTCATGTTTTCTCCCTGACTGACAGCTCAGCATACAGGTATCTTTCCTGTGCATATCTTTTTTCAAACCTCTGCAGGCCTGCTTACATCTTACACACACTTTGCTTTCTTTCTTTTTGTACTGTGAGGTCATCTCACTAATATTTTTCTTTAAAGGGCATACACGTGTTATGGTATTTTCTCTTCACTGTTCCTGGAACATTTATTTGTCTGGTAGCTATTGTCTGTACACACCTACACTGAAAGCTGCTTAACTACTTTAAGTGTTTATACTGGTTTATGACCAAGCTGTGACTTCAGTGAACTTTCTGAGAACACAAAAACTTGTTACTTTCTTGTCTTGCAATCTTCTGTTTCTGATGCTGAAAAAAGGATGAGAACCTGCCCCTCCGGTCACACCAATGAGATTGTCTCAATTCTGAGGTCTGTTCTTTCTCCGTACAGAGAGTGCAGAAGAGGTGCACAAAGGAAACTATTTAAAGATAAAAAGAAAAAGGAAGGGTGATGAGGATTCTGTCTAATTATTCCTGCCTTGATTCCTTTTTCTTCAGTCCCTCTTTCTGCTTCTCTTGCATCATTATACTTCTCTCCCAGACTGAGATGCTGCTGCTGTAGTGAAACATAAATGGCGTGTCTGTGCAGAATTTGCTTCGTTTCAGGCTGGCTGCCAGCTAAAAGCAGTATAGGCTTTTAGAGTGACCTTTCAAACGAGCTTGACTGATGAAGTCTCCACTGTTACCTAGCCAGGGCTGCCAACAGTTCAAACATTGAAGTCCTGCATACTTGCTGCTCTGCCCTGTGCAAACTCAGCTTCTGCTCTGTCCAGCCATGACCTCAGTACAAACAATAGCTGCTTGCAATTCTCTGGTAAAGGTTGTGCAAACTCCATTATTTTCTTTGATCTGTAAGCCTCCAGAAGCTTGCATACTGGCTGATGGTGGAAACTGGTGGAAAGAGTTTCTTTATTGCCATCAATCATAAGAGGAGACCTTACTTATCACGATGCTACTGAAGTGCCAACATAATTTATATGGAAAACAAGCTATCAAATAGAGACTGTACATGTCCTGGTAGCTTGAGTAAAATCCATTTATTTCTCATTTATTAATTTGCTCCACAACAGATTGTCATGTTATCAGTCTTTTATATTTTAAATAAAAATAAAGTAATGTAAATGGACTGTGGAAATCACAACATGAAAAAACTCTCCTTCTGACATGGTATCTCATGTCTTCAGACCCACAGCAATCTGCTCTGCTGACATTTCATCAGGTGCAGGGCTAGTTTTCATCTGAATAGCTACCCAGTTTGCCTTTTCTGTGCTAATGCTCCCCATTTTTCTTACTCTCAAATGCAATATACCTGTGCAGGAGAAAACGTACTGCAAGCAACTATGCTTTTTTAAAACCAGCAGAAACTTTGTCACTAGCCTCCAGGAGGCTTAGCAATAGCCTATGACATCTGGGGAAAGCTCAGCACTCCAGCATGACATTTCTGCCCTGCGCTTGACTAATGAGGCTTTTTTTGTGGGGATCAGAAGGATGTGAGACAGGAGTGAGAGGGCTCAGTGCCAACTTTGCAGCTGATACATCCCCATTGTTCTCAGAGTGGCTCCCAGTATCTTGGGTCTCCCTGTGTGCCAGCATCATCAGTACATATATTTCTCGGCATCAGGAGGATGCTTTTTGCAATGTTGTGCTTTCAAAATTTGTATGGAGCACACTTCCAATGGCTGGTTTCAGATTTCTTCAAGGTTGGTAGCAAAGTTTCCAGTTCCCTCTGTGGGAACAGATTAGGTCCTGAAGCAAAAAGTAGTAACTGGAGAAAAGTTATAATGCTTTCAGGAAAAAAAAATAATCTGGGAAAGAAAAAGTGATTTTTTCACTTGTAATCAAGTGCCATAGATCACAAATTGGAATCTGTGCTGTAAGAACTGTCATATAACTAACATGTCTGCAAATTCATGGAATAAACACAGACATTGCATCGATTGCTGGGTAGGAATTTCTCTGCTAGGAGACTTGTAACCATAACACACTGCGTAAACGTGCCTGAGAATCAGTGGCAGCACTTTGTAGAGGTGCCCAGGGCCACCCTTTAGCACTTTACTGTCCCTGTCTGCTGGGGCTGCTGCAGTGCAACCTGGGAGAGCCAAAACTGAAGCACAAGAGCCTGTGTTCTGCTGCAGGCTGCTGTGTGCTGGCTACAGACGCAACAGATGCTGGAGATAGATGGTGGTGCAGGCTGTCCTGTGGTTTCACAGTGCATACGGCAGATACTGGGAGATAGGTGACAATGCACGCGATCATATCTGCTGCTAGCATCGACATTGTCAGGTTGCTGCTTCATGTTTGAAGCACTAATTCTTCTTTCTTATTGTGCAACAGGCACTAAACAGGATGGCACAAACCATAGGAACATCTGAGTCTGCTGGGTTGTAGGCCAATAACCAGATGAAAAGTTTTCACCTTCACCTTGAGCTCCAGCCTGCCCAGTGGTACAGTGCTTTGTCAGGGCTCAGCTCTCTCCTTCCTGCCAGGCAGCACCAGAAGTGTGCTCCAAAAACCCTAGTGGAGCCCTGTGGTCCATCACAAGCGGAAAAGGCTCCCTTACACCTCCTCCAAAACTCTGCCCTCACCTCTACCTGAACTATCAGAGCATCTCTGTGACCTCCCTCCTGCCCCAAAAAAGCATAAGGCATGTGGACAGCTTTGCCTCTGATGGGTTCCCCAGGGAAAGGCAATGCCCCACCAGCATCCTTTACATGTGTTTTGGTTTTGCCCCTTGTGTGCTTTTTGTGGATTCATGTTTTTGTCCTGGAGGGGAAATTTTTGGCGTGATACGGTCCAGAATTGTTGTTTGGCTCATGCTTTCTCCTACAGCATAAATTTCTGTTTCAAGCAATTGAGTTTTAATGTGAGCCCCACTCACTGGCATGTATTCTTGAAATGAGACCACAAGATATATTCAGTGATCTCATTCATTTTATTGGTCTCCTGGCACAAAGCTATCTTGGCAGAGGCAGATGGAAGCAGCTAAGGTTTTTGTAGATGAAAACACCTGCACGTATTGCTGTATAAAAGCTGACTTGCCTTTATGCAACAGCTTTTACATCAGATCAAACCTCTGCAGCCACATGGGCAGAGCATAACTTTGGCATCCCAGAGCTGGATTCATGGCCTCGCTGTCACAGGCTGGCAGAAGGAGTGAGCCTAGTGGTTTCAGTTATTTTACCTCCCAGGCGCTGTCATCTGCACCAGGAGCAGCAGCTGCAGATTTTCTGGTGAAACAGATAACGACAAGAACAACCTGAGCTGCCCATTTCCTATGACTTTTGCTGTGATGCTAGCCCGTACTGTTTCTCTAGAAATACTTTCTTGTCGCCAGCTCTGGAGGAAGGGGTGAGCAGAAAGCAGGTTTCCCAGTGGGCTGTACTCAACGCCAAATCCTCAGGTGCCGGAGAGCAACCTCAGAATTTGAAGCAGCCCCTGGCCTTACCGGTTTTCCCCAGCTGAGTTTGAAGTCTCCATAATTTCAAAGTGAACTTTGGTTTTGGCTCTAGCACCTTTTCAGCTCTCTACACTAGCAGAGGTGCTGCAGGCGGCGCTGTAGGCTGCAAAAGCTTCAGCTTGCTGGTTTGCAGCTGATTCGCCAAAGAGCAGCCCCATTTCTACAGAAAACCGGGCCCAGTCGTCTTCCCAGCTTACAACGTTGCCCTTTATCTGATCAGGAGCTGTGACTGGAGAGTGTGGATGGGATCCAGACTGTGTCGAATGTCTTGGCAAGTTAGAAAAATAAGAAAGAATGGAAGTGTAATGGCTTGTGAAAATAAATTCAACACAGAGCTTGTGTTAAAACGTGAGTGGTGTTTTTATTTTCCAGAAAAAAATTTGTTCTTTTTCACTGAAAACATGGTATTTTGCCAGAAGTTGCTTTATTTTTTTTTTTTTACTTTCACCTGATACTTCAGCATTCAAAATTTATTGGGGTTTTATTTGTTTTTTTTTTTTTTTGTTTTTAGTTTTCTGGAAAAAGTAGCAGATTGTTTTAGAGAAGCTCTGACTGTGGAATAAATTTAATGTTTTAGACATTTCCACTCATGCATTTTGCTTTGTTTTTCATTTTTTATTCCTTGACTCACAATTGGGGCTTTTTACATTCATTTGGGAATGGTACTAGTGTTGGATTAATTTCATTGTTGGACCTAACTTATACAGTCAATATGCACCAATAACTAGAGTATCTTTTCCTGTGTTCCTTTTCAAGGATGTAGCAATAGCTCTGTCTCCCAATGCAAGAAGCGCAGCCCATTAATCACGGTGTTGTTGAACCAAACACTGTGTGAGAGCTTGCTGCAGCAACACATCCTAATGTCAGATTAGGACAGTGTGACTTG